GTTTCTGTTTTTGTTTTTGTTGTTGTTGTTGTTGTTGTTGTTGTTGTTGTTGTTGTTGTTGTTGAGTTTTCATTCTTGAAAAATAATTATTGTTGATCCCCCCCACCCGTGCACATTGATTTTTTCCAATTGAAGTGCTCCCCCCGGGGCTCGCACCCTGTTTTTTGACAGGGAAAGTCTTCCTGCTCAAACTGGCCCCTTGGCCCCGGGGTTACAACAACAACGGCTCCCGCTTTAGACTTCCTCACAATTTAGCCAGGACCCCCGCTCCCGCCCGAGACTTCTTCGCATTTTATTCGAGAATCGCGCTCTCGCTTGGGACTTCCTTACGATTCATTCAGGAATCGCTCCTCCTGCGCTCTGGAGTCGCACTCTCGCTGGAGACTTGCTTGCAATTTACAAAGGAATAGCGCCTTTGCGGTGGAATTTCTTGCAATTTACTCACGCGCCGCGCTCCCGACACCCAGGCACCCAGGAGTCGCGCTCACGCTTCGGATTCCTTCACAGATTACCTAGGAATCGGGATCTCGCTGCCATTCGTGACCCCGTTGCAGCCCTTCGTGGCCTCCTCGCTTTGTTTCGTGGCCCCGTTGCAGCCCTTCGTGGCCCCTTCGCTTTGTTTCGTGGCCCCGTTGCAGCCCTTCGTGGCCTCCTCGTTGCCCTTCGTGGCCCCGTTGCAGCCCGTCGTGGCCCCCTCGCTTTGTTTCGTGGCCCCGTTGCAGCCCTTCGTGGCCCCCTCGCTTTGTTTCGTGGCCCCGTTGCAGCCCTTCGTGGCCCCGTTGCAGCCCTTCGTGGCCCCCTCGCTGCCCTTCGTGGCCCCGTTGCAGCCCATCGTGGCCCCCTCGCTTTGTTTCGTGGCCCCATATATGTATGCCCTTCGTGGCCCCCGCTTGTTCGCGTCCGTGATGGCCCCATATGCATGCCCTTCGTGGCCCCGCTGTCGCCCTTCGTGGCCCCCTCGCTGCCTTTCGTGCTCCCGTTGCTGCCCACAGTGGCCCCGTCCTTACCCTCCGCGGCCCAACATACGTACGCCCTTCGTGGCCCCCGCTCGTTTGCGCCCGTTGTGGCCCCATGTGCATGCCCTTCGTGGCCCCGCTGTCGCCGTTGGTGGCTCCCTCATTGTCCTACGTGGCCCAGGTGCTACCCTCAGTGGCCCCATCGTTGCCTTCTGTGGCCCCGCATTATCAGCCCTTCGTGGCCCACGCTCGTTCGCGCTCTTCGTAGCCCCATACGCATTCCCTTCGTGTCCCCGCTGTCGCCCTTCGTGGCCTACTTCGTGTCCTTCGTGGCTCTGCTGTCGTTCTCTCTCGCTCTCGCTTTCGTTCGTCGTCGTCGTCGCCGTCGCCGTCGTTGCCGTCGTCGTCGACGTCGTCGTCGTCGTCGTCGTCGTCGTCGTCGTCGTCGTCGTCGTCGTCGTGGTCGGTCCCCTGTCCGTCCCTCTTGGGGTCGGGTCGACGGTCCGCGGCCGCCCCGCCGATCAGCGCTGCCGCTGGCCAGGCCGACGGTCCGCGGCCGCCCCGCCGCTTGCCGGGGCCCGGCCTGCAGGGAAGAAAGGTATATCCCCCCAAAGGGGTTCGATCGAAGACGAAAAGGGCGGGTATCGAGGGTTTGGGAAATTCGCGTTATTCGACACTCGAGCAGATAAGGGCGAACAGTAAGAAAATGATTGTTGTTGTTGTTGTTGTTGTTGTTGTTGTTGTTGTTGTTGTTGTTGTTGTTGTTGTTGTTGTTGTTGTTGTTGTTGAACATTATTTCTTCTTAAGAATAATTATTGTTGGGACCCCTGGTGCACGACCCCCCCGCCGCGCCTAGGCCGCAGCCTCATTTTCATCATTTTCGTGAGGAAGTCTCAGGCAAAACGGGGAGTCCGGATCCGGTTGTGTTGTTACGATCGGTTTTCCCTTGCAAGAAATAAGCTAAAGTGGACATTTCTTGTTCTAACATAACCAAACTTCAAGAATCCCTTGCAAAAAATAAGGTAAAGTGGACATTCGCGCGCGCAAGACGAAATCCTTCCAAAACCTTAGTTTTCGTAGCGATTTTAACATAAAAACATCAAAAAACCAATGGTTTTTCAAAAAAATTGTCAAAATTTCATCCCGCGCGCTCTTGCGGATTCGTAGGAAACCCAACACTTTTTAAACATTTCTGTCAAACGGGCTTTTGCGAGCAACTTTTTCGAACTTCTGCAACAACGGTTGCGCACCTGCCAGGGCCATCATCCCTGTCAAATAATACCATGCGGGACACATTCGTTTTTTCTTCGCGCGCGCACGCCGTCGTCGTCGGCCGCGGGGCCCTGAATAGTAGCCACGGTCGTCCGCATGCCACGAAGTGAAGTGTCCGAACGTCATAGGGCGGGAAGCTGGGTGTGGGTGGTGGCGAAGAGTCGTTTGGAAATTTGGTAGAGCTTGAACCGGCCCCCCCACAAAGTGGGGGTATTGCCCGCCTCCTATGAAAACCCTGGCACTGGTGAGAACGGTGTGTCCCCACGTGCTAGTAATTGTTGTTGTTGTTGTTGTTGTTGTTCTTATTGTTGTTGTTGTTCGTTGTTGTTTCTTCCCCCTTATTGGGCCTCCTGGGAGACCTTCGTCGCCACCGCTGGATTGGCCTCGAAATCCTGGTCAGAACGCACGCCAGGAGATGCCTGGGGAGTAGCAGTATGGGTGCCTTTTGGCTTCCCCGGTTGTGACCCGAAGGTCGAGGCGAGGGCGTCGCGGTCGTCGTGGCTCCGCTCAAAGACGTGGTCCGCTAATCCAGGCCTCCCACATGGGATCGAATTTAAAAGGGTCGGAGGACTGCGCCGCATTGCCGATGCATCGGCGATGCGGCTCGATGTGGAATTCGATTTTCTCCATGACGACGGCGCCCGTGTATCACCGACGTCGCCGATACATCGCCGATGCATCGCCGATGTATCGGCGATAAGTCAGCGATGCGGCGCGATCCTCCGACCCCCCATCTTTCGGACCCTGTTTCGGAGGCCTCCAGCTAAGCTGCTTCGTGCAGCTTGCAGCCCCATGGAGAAGTGTGCATGCGTCTTCGGTCCAGGACGTGCCTGACCAGGTTCGGTATCGGTGCATCGTTGGCCTGCCCGAGGGGTGTGCCACGTGTAGAGCCGAGGCAAGCCTGCCTGCCTGCCTGTCAGTCCGCCCGTCGGCGCCCGCGCCTGACCTGAGAGAGCCTGCGCCTGCGCCTGCGCCTGCATCTGCTTCTGTGCCTGCTTTTGTTTCTGCCTGCCCCACGCGTAATTGTTCAGTGTTGGTAGCGTTCAGAGGTCCGACGAATCGGACCAGCATTCGATTGATTGTCGTCACAGCATCCTCGCACACAGGCGCGTATCGACGTATTGATACGGATACACATACGTACACACTCATCCAGGGTGGCACGCTGATGGCTGCCAATGGTTCGGCTATGGAGCGCATCCGCGTCCTCGACGACCATCGCAGGCTTCACCTGCGAGAGTAAGCTCTCTTGTATGGCAAGCGCCCTTCGCTCTGCAGGATTTCCTTGTCTTTTTCTCTAGTCTGTCACCCCCGAGCCTGAGTTCGCACGCTGTTAGAGTCGATGCCGACTGTGGCCTCGACCCCCGTTCTCTGCAGGGCCATGCCTGGCTCGCTCTTTGTGCAAGCACCCCTGTAGCGTGGCCTCCCCGCGAGGTACACCGAGACTCTAGGCTCTCTGCGACGGCCCCCTCATTGTATTGGCCTCGGTATCGATGAGTAAATCACCACCACCATCACCATCACCATCACCGTCACCATCATCATCAGTTTCACTATCATCATCATCATCGTGAGCAGCATCATCCTCATTTATCATAATCATCATCAGCAGCATCGTCATCATCATCGTCGTCGTAATCGTAATCGTCATCTTTCATGTCATCGTCATCGTCATCGTCAGCGTCATCATCACCGTCATTGTCACCACCACCACCGCCATCATCATCATCATCATCATCATCATCACTATCGTCAGCATCGTCATCATTATCACCACCACCATAATCAACAGCAGCATCGTCAGCAGCAGCTTATCCTCACCACCACCGCCAACAAACAACCACAAACAACAGCCAACACCACCGTCAACAACAGCAACAGCAACAACAGCAGCATCACCACGACCATCTACCCATCTACGCACATATATACATATATATGTATGTATGTATGTATGTATGTATGTATGTATGTATGTATGTATGTATGTATGTATGTATGTATGTATGTATGTATGTATGTATGTACGTGCGTGTATGTGTGTGTGTGTATGTATGTATGTATGTATGTATGTATGTATGTATGTATGTATGTATGTATGTATGTATGTATACATATAAAACATGTATATATACACACAGGCATACACAGGTACACACGTATAGGCGTGTACAAACACGTATGTAGGCCCATGCATTCTTTTTCCGCGGGCTGTGGAACGTTCCTCCAACCGAGAAGCACTCTCGGGTTCCGACGAGTGCAGAATACGTAAGCCCACCCGCAGTGAAAAGAGATCGGTGCCGGCTGACTGGTATGGCCAGGACGTCGCGCACGGTGCACGCTTTCCACGAAGGATCTGCATGATTGCTCTTCGACGGCCCGCGTCAGGGGAGAAGGCCCAGGGGGCGACTCTTCTCGGAAGATGCAGGAGGCCTCTGGCCTTCTCGGAAGCTTTCTATTCCTCCGGAGCGGAGCCACCGAGGGCTTCCCAGTGGGCCGCAGGGCCTCCGAGTCCTCTGCAACGGGGCAGGGCTTGTCAGAAGGCCGCAGGGATTCTCAGGAGGCCCTGCTGCCTCTTGAGGAGGCCTGCCCCCTTTCGCTTCCCCCCTTTGGGCGCGCCGCCGAGATCTCTAGACTGCGTGCGCACGCGATCCGCTGGTTCTCTCTCGCCCTGAGTGTCAGATTTTCTTGCGCTCGCTCGAACAAGTCTTCGCTTCTCCTGTCCTGGTCCCGTCTTCGACCCCTGCACCGCGCCGCGCGGGTGCGGCTCAGGTGGTCTTCCCCTCGATGATCTGGCGGGGGAAGGACTTCCTTGTAGTAAACAAACCCGCCGACTGGATCTGCTCCGCGAGCGATGTGGACAAGAAGAAGGGGCGTACTCTGGATCCGACCCTGAAGGCGCGTGGGTTGTGGAGCTGTGATCTGTGCCGTTTCCCCTTTGTCACTCCCCCCGTCCGCCTCGTCGTCGTGCTACTGCTGCTGCTGCTGCTGCTCCTCCTCTTGTTTCTCTTCCTCAGTTCTGCCGCTCCTCCTGTTCCTCTTGCTCCTCGTCTCCAGTTTTGGGGGCTAAGAGGCTAGCACCAACACGGCAAGCCTAGTCGAAGGTCAACCAAGACAAGCCACGCGAAGGTAATGTTCTGTTAGGTAGGCCACGCCTAGCCGAGCTAAACACAAGCCAATCCAGCCAAGGTAAGCTTAGCGAGGAACCAGTGCGTCTAGCGATAGTCATGGATCATGCGCCTGGGCCCAGCTGTCTGGCGAGCTGGGGGCTGGCACTGCCGTCGGCGTCCAGGAGGGAATGAGTAGAAGGGGGGAGGATGGAGCGGCAGGAGTAGCGAGAGCGAGAGAGAGAGGGAGAGATAGCCAACTTGAGCAAAGCTTTCCCGTCGGAGGGGGATTGGCGCGCAGCCTGGAAGCGTTATCTGTAGTAGTTGTCGAAGTCCACATTCGAGTTCAAGATATTTTTTGGCTAGAAGCTGAGATTGGCTCCACTTTTCTGGCGTGACGCTCGGGCCTCGAGAGTTTTTTCAAACCCACTCCTGCTGCCTGACCAGCTGCGCTGGAGGCAGCAGCGGCAGCGGCAGCCCGTGGCGGCCAGGGCAGGATTTCGAAGCAGTCTGGCAGACGACTGGACCCCAGACCAGCACGCGACCGCCGCGCTCGGGGCATCTCGGTGGCAGGCACGGTCAGGTGGTGACCGCACGGGGCTAGGACGAGGGCAAATCCGTTCCAGAGCGATCTGGGACGCTCTGAGAAGGCCGCGTTTCCCGACACGTCTTCCAGAGCCGCCCGATCCCAGAGATTCTTGGTTCATCCTCGCCCGAATTTCTCCTTGGTCCTGGCCTCGTCTTCGGTGACCGAGCGGGCAGCGCGGCTGGACCTCGGGCTTGGCAGTAGCGCCTGACCGGAAGAAGAAACGCCAGCAGTGCTCGCCCTTGCCAGATCGGGGGCCTGGGGTCCCCCAGACGGTGCGGTGAACATACCGTGTGAGCCAGTGGGGATTCGGGGTGGCCGCACAGTTCTGGGACTCGGGCCGTTCTCCAGGGCGTCTCGAGCGACAGGCGGCCAGGGTCCCAGAACTGTGCGGTGAAGTCTTTGGGGATTCCGAGGTCACCGCCCAGTCTGTCCCAGCCTCGCCCGGACACCCAAAGGCAGCGGTGGGGTAATCTGGTTCACCGAAGGGCCCCCCTGCGCTCGCTGCGAGGAGGAGGAGGAGGAGGAGGAGGAGGAGGAGGAGGAGGAGGAGGAGCGTGGCGGCCTCCTGCTGGAAGAGCAGGTCACGACAGCTCGGCGCGCCTCTTGGGTCGTCGCCGCGGCTGTCTGCATGCGCATGCAAGCTCTGGCGGTCCTGACGCGCGGGGGTCGTGACACACACAGCCCTGAAGGGAGGGACGAAGATTGCAGGGGGAAGGCGCCGGACAGGGTTGCAATGGAAATGCGGCGTGCTGCAGCCCTGGCTCGGGGTGGAAGTGGGCTTGAGCGAGAAGTCCCACCGCGCTGGCTCCCTCGTGAGCACTGCGGATGGAGCTCCGAACGGACCAGGACGAGGGGAAGGAGGTGGAAGAGGTGGTGGAGGATGGGCATATCTCTGGTTGTGCCTGGGGACAGCGCGAGGAAGAGAGGGGTCGGGGCCTCCAAACGGTGTGGTGACCCCACCGCGAGGTGAGTCAGCAGGGATCTGGAGTGGCCGCACGGTTTTGGGATTTGGGTCTGGGGGTAATTTTTCGGTCGAGCGGGTGGTGTGCTCATGGGTTCTACCAGGTGCAGGGAGTGCGATGCTAGTCGGGTGCACGGTACACATGGGGCTCTTTGCAGGGAGGGGGAGAGGAGGGAGGGAAGAGGGGGAGAGGATGGGGGCGCCGTGACGGGCTTGAGTGATTGACGATCCAGGGGTAGCTCAAGGCATGCACAGGATGAGGGGCATCTTCTGAGGGAGGTGGACCCCTACCTGGCCATACGCCCCTGACTTTTCTTCCTTTCTCTTTCCGTCCGCTTCCACCTTCCGCACTACGGGGGCAGCCCGCAGCAAGTCAGTCTTGGTCCCTGCCTCCTCCTCCACCTCTTCGTCGTCCTCCGCCACTTCTTCTTCTTCTTCTTCATCCTCCTCCTCCTCTTCTTCTTCTTCTTCTTCTTTTCTCTCCTCCGCCAAATCCGTCTTCTATCTCCTCTTCTTCCTGCCTCGGACTGCTCTTGAGTCAGCAGTTAGCTGGAAACCGGAGCTGATGCTGCCTGACGACAGCAATCAAACATATTGGCATGGCTGACGGCAGGG